GAAACACCTTCAGAGAAGTGACCACAGAGGGGCTTTCAGAGGATTCCTGGGCAGTTTCAGAGGCTGGAAAGCAGACAGCCAAGCACTTTTCCACCCACAATCCCAGAACCACAGACTTGGAGAGGCATAGCCAGAGGGTTATTTATTTTAAAGGATGAATAGCCGTGGCCATGTGCACGTATACACTGCCTGTGGTTTCTGTTTCAGGCTTGCTCTCACTTTGCTAGGTGAGGGTGTATCTCCCTGTATTCTGGCCAGTGCATCCATTGAATATCTAAGCCTGGGGAATGCATTGTTTCATTTAATCTCCCAAGGAAGGGGCATCATCACTATCCTAATTTCACTGCCACACAACCCCAGACACATCAACTCTGTGTTTTGTGTTCCTGGCTCCTAAATGATACAATTAGAAAATGGCCTCATTAGAAGCATGATAATGCCTCTGATTAATCAAACAGCACATTCCCCTTAATATAGACATTGAACTTTAGGCACTACAAGCACCAGCCTGGGGATTCACGGGACACAAGTGCTGGCCCTGACTTCAGACATCAGTGGTGCTGTGAAGGACGGGAGGAGGGGGCTGGGCGAGGAGGAAGTAGCCTTCCATGCAGAGGGGCTGTGCAGGGCTCAGAGGCAGCGCTGAAGGGGCCTCCTGGCTCCTGGTGGCCCCAGCTTTATCCATTTACTCATCTTTTCCTAGATTCACAGACACACAGGGGCTTAAAGCCACTTTCTGCAGGCCCCTGTGAGACTTCGGCGGCAGTAGATGAGTGGAGAGTGACAGTAGGGAACACAGATTTCCAGCCCCACCTCCACCCCACATGTCACACTGGCCCTCGTGCCCCCAGCACAAGCCCTTGCTGCATCCGCTGCCCTCACAGCTGCAGTGTGGGGACGCCTGGGTGGCCAAAGCGCTGCCTTGGCCTGCACAGCCTGCACATGCCTTGGCATGTGGACCTGTGTTTGCCCCATACCATACGTGAGCCAGAGACAAGAGGGCAGCTAGAACGGTTGGGTAGATTTCACGCCTATAATCCCAGCACTTTGGGAGGCTGAGGCGGGCGGATCACAAGGTCAGGAGTTTTAAGACCGGCCTGGCCAAGACGGTGAAATCCCGTCTCTACTAAAAATACAAAAATTAGCCGGGCATGGAGGCAGGCACCTGTAGTCCCAGCTGCTTGGGAGGCTGAGGTAGAAAATTGCTCAAATCCAGAAGGCAGGGGTTGCATTGAGCCTAAACTGCACCACTGCACTCCAGCCTGGGCAACAGAGCAAGATGCCATCTCAAAAGAAAAAAGAAAAAAAAAAAAAAACTCACGCCACCCCAGCAGAATGGGACTTGTACCTTCTCAGCTAAAGGGCCAAGGCCCCAGCAGGACACAGCTGGGCCAGTGCAGGCCCCAGAACAGCCCTGCTGGGCCTGAGCACAGGGCTAGCTGCCAGGCTGGCCGCCCTTTCCCACAGCACCTCTTTGGGCAGGCCCAGCGGCCTGCCAAAGGGTCATGTTCAGGCCTTTCGGGGGCCCCAAATTTAGAGAATGTTCCTGAACGAGCAGCTTGTACCTGCCTCACTGTTGTGGGCCACAGCCCTTCCAAATGTGGCAGGACCCTCAGGGCAAGGCCTGTCACCTGATCCTCTGCCCCTCTGTTCACTGCTGTTGGCTCTTCTCCCTCCACTTGCCTTTCTCTTTTCTCTTCGGGTCCTCACCCCAAACCTCCTCTTCACTGTCCCCTCACAGACACCCTCTCAGAATCTGTCCTTCCTATTCCCGCTGTCCTGGGCAACGTCCCCGCAGCTGTGGGGATGCAGAGGCCGGGGTGGAAGGACGGGGAGAGGGTGCAGCCTCTCCAGCAGCCCCAGAGCCAGGCCCTGGGCCAGCAGAGCATACAGGGACACGGATCCCCACGTCCCACCCATCACTTCAGAGAGAGAGGAAGGGACATGTCTACAGTCACGTGGCTGTGACAAGTGTCCTATCTCCAGTGCCAGGCAGCCCTCTTCCGGCTTCCCACACTGCCCAGTCCCTCCCACACCCTTCTGCTTCGCTTCAGCATCTTCTTCTGGGGACTCCCTAGACCCCAACTCCTCCCTCTCCCAGAACTCCCAAGAGGGGGTGACCCCTTTCTGAAGGCCCACCCTGCATAGAGGGGTATGTGTTACACTGACATGGACAGAGGGCAGTATCTCCCTGTCCTGCTCCAGGGACTTTGTTGGGACCCACAGACCCCTCTCTTGGGAAGCCCACACCTGCCACGCTTCCCTTCCCTAAGGTCACTGGTCTTGCAGAGCCCCAGGCCTGGGTGGAGTTGGCTGCAGAGGGAACCAGCAGCCTCCTCTGCCCCGCTTCTCCCCAGGTTGTCATTAACCCCAACTACGAGGTTGCAGAATCCGATTACTCCAACAACATCATGAAGTGCAGGAGCCGCTACGACGGCCACCGCATCTGGATGTACAACTGCCACATAGGTAAGGCCCGGGCCACCCTGCTCCAGGAAGCAGGCGGGAGCTGCCCTACTTTCTCAAGGACCCAGAGTCAGCTTCCTAATTTGGGTAAAGAGCTTGGGGAATGCAGCCAGGACCACATTTCCACATTCAGGACGGAAGCCACAGACACACAGGCCTGGATGGAGACTGAGTTTTTACAGCCAGCTCCAGCCACGGAGAGAGGGTGGTACAGGACCCGGGCTGGCCCAGCACAGACCCCAAGGCTATTTAAGGGTTGGAGCGGAGGCCACTGGCTCATTTTACATGTGACCTCAAAAATGTGGGCGTCAGCAATTTGTGGATGCTGCCTATCAGGTTTTTCTGTCAAAAGCCGGAAGCTGGCAAACCACTGTTATTTCTAGTCTCCAGTAAAGACGGTTTTTCCTTGGCTGATGTGATTTGGGGAACAAAAAGGGAAAGCAGAGCTTTTTCCTCTGCAGGGACAGTCATGGCCCTCACTCTTGGCGAGGTTAAAATTAAAGGCTCTATATTTATCCACTCGTTCAGTCCACTTTGACAGAGCACCTGCTGTGTCCCCAGCCCTAGAGATGGCCAGCACCTGGGAGCTGTCCTTGTGAGGTCGCACAGAGGGGGTCCCAGCAGAGCCCCTGAGGCCCACTCCCCCAGCTCAGGGTCAGGCAAGGCCTGAGCATCTCATTTGCCCATTCTCTTTCCCCAATTCTCGCTCCTCAGGCGGTTCCTTCAGCGAAGAGACAGAAAAGAAATTTGAGCACTTCAGCGGGCTCTTAAACAACCAGCTCTCCCCGCAGTAAAGGCGGCTGCGTGGTCACCTCCTGTCTTCAGGCCACACCACATCTTCCCTGGGACTTCCCCAAGTGAGTCTGAATGAATGCCGCGTGCCCTCGCCCAGCCTGGACCCCACCCATCCAGACCCTCCAGCCAAGTCCAAGCTCAGGAGGAAGGGGACGCTCTCGTCATTCACCAGGGGCTGCTGCCTGACCCTTGGGGCCTGAGAAGGCCTTGGAAGCTGCAGTTTGTCCACAGCGCTGCCGAAGCAGCACCAAGAGCCAACCTTGCCCAGGACGAGGCCCACAGACAGGTTGTCACCAGCTTGTCCCATCCAAGCCACCGAGCTCACCACAGACACCATGGGGCCACTCTTCTCCAGTGACACATGGGCAAATGCAGTCTCATCACCCTCTAAGAGAAGGTCAGGCCAAATCCCGTTTCTCCTCCTCTTAGGTCATTTTCAGCAAACTTGAATATCTAGACCTCTCTGCCCAGGAAACCAGTGCCCTCTACTCTAGTCTACTATAGGCACATAGATAATGCTGCCACGTGGTGTCTGACTCAGTGAGCCTAGACTTGGTGCTTCTCTCTCCACCTGCCCCCTTTATTTTTCAAGATACTATATGATATTATATTTTCACAGACTTGGGAATCACAAATTTAGTGGTATTTAATACCGGACATCTGGGCCTTTGGAAGTACCGCTCTAAGGAAAAACCAGCCCACCTGTGTAAGTGACTTATCTTCCTATTGTTCCAGTTCTGTGGGTTTTTGATTCAACGGTGCTATAACCAGGGTCCTGGGTGACAGGGACGCTCACCGAACACCATGTGTCATCACAGACACTTACACATACTTGAACTTGGAATAAAAGATTTATGATACGTGTCTATGTTTCCTTTGACCCACAGCACATGGGCCCTGAGCACTGGGCTTCCTATGTTCAGTGGCTAGAAGCAGAGCTTCGGATACATTTATGGTTTCCCTGCAGTGGACATGGGTGCCCAGATCCCCCTCCAGCCCAGCGTGGCCACCAGGGGCCTCCTTCAATAGGCTGTAAAAGGCACAGCTCCTGCCCTCTGGGAGAAGCAGTCCAAGGGGACCGCAGAAAGCCCCAGAACAGGAATCATAACCCTTCTTGAGCTCCTGTGGTTTTTACTGACACTTGTCAGGAGGCATAGGAGTTGTGCTAGGGCCAGATGGAAAGTCTAGATTTAAACACCCACAAGGTAGCTTCTCAAAGGAGGAGGCTATCGTTTCACAGGACAGGGGCTCCCAGCTCTTCCTAGTGGCAGTGGGGGAGGCTGGTTCCAGCCAGCCCTCACCCTTGTGTCAATAGCATGCGAGGGCCCTGCAAACCCGAGGGCAGGTAGGACCACGCTGGCACCAGCCACCCAAACCACAGTCGATGAGGGCATCAGCGTGCATTCGGATCTCACCTCTTGATTTTTGTAATTTTTGTTCACGTTTATTTCTGCAAGAACCGGCACTGACCAGTAACACCAGGACCAGCCCTGGGGTCCCAGAACTGTCTCGCAGCACAGGCCGGCAGGCGGGATATGTGAACTGCTGAAGGAGTGTGGGCAGGTGCTACACGGCAGGTAAACCCAGTGCCCAAAACCAGGCAGGCTGTGCACAGAGGCCCTGCAGGGATCCTCCCAGCCAGACTCCTCCAGTGACCTTCCTTCAGCTGCAGGCCTCCACTGCAAGGTGGAATAGCACCCCCTAGCGTCCCCCGCAGACCCCATTTCAAAGCGATCACATTAGAACAACGTGAGTTTTTATTTTTTCTCCATTTCTGGGACTAAACTGAACTAAAGCCCACCTTGCCTCATGATGAAGCCTGAGGGTGGCGTGGGGCTGCTCTGGCATCTGTGAAGGCATGTGGTGTCGGGGTGCCAGCTACATCGGCGTGCAGATCCAGGCCAGCCGAGTCTCCAGGCCTCAGGGCGGCAGTGGACCCTGGACAGCAGGCCGCTCTTTCTTTTTGTGTTGGAGTCCCAGGGCCCGGGCCACCAGCCTCCGGGCCACGGTCACATTTGTCTGTGGCCTCTCCTTCATCAGATGCAGGAGTTCTAGAAGGAAAGTCCACGGTGGGGACCTGAATACAAGGCTGTGGCTGCCTCTCCCCCAGCAATACAGCAGCCACAGAGGCCACCAGAGCCAGCCTCTCATGTGACATGTGGGGCCTGGGCCCAGGTGTGCCCGTGGTGTGGCCCGATGCTCACAAGGGGGGCCCACTGAGGGATCCTGGTCCCCCAGGGGATGCTGAACCAAACCTGTCACCTCTCCATGCCCTTGTTTCTCTTGTCTCTACACTCAGGGAGCTGAGGGGGTTCATCCCGCATACCTCCCTGCTTTTTAGGGTCCTTTGGGAGGATGTCAAGTCAGGATGGGACAGAGCTCGCAGACCTATAAGCAGGATATTTATTGCTCCAAGAAACCCGGGACCATGAGTGAGAGCACAGCCATGTAGTCTACGTAACCAACCGTGAGAGCACAGCCATGTAGTCTACGTAACCAACCGTGAGAGCACAGCCATGTAGTCTACGTAACCAACCGTGAGAGCACAGCCATGTAGTCTACGTAACCAACCGTGAGAGCACAGCCATGTAGTCTACGTAACCAACCGTGAGAGCACAGCCATGTAGTCTACGTAACCAACCGTGAGAGCACAGCCATGTAGTCTACGTAACCAACCGTGAGAGCACAGCCATGTAGTCTACGTAACCAACCGTGAGAGCACAGCCATGTAGTCTACGTAACCAACCGTGAGAGCACAGCCATGTAGTCTACGTAACCAACCGTGAGAGCACAGCCATGTAGTCTACGTAACCAACCGTGAGAGCACAGCCATGTAGTCTACGTAACCAACCGTGAGAGCACAGCCATGTAGTCTACGTAACCAACCGTGAGAGCACAGCCATGTAGTCTACGTAACCAACCGTGAGAGCACAGCCATGTAGTCTACGTAACCAACCGTGAGAGCACAGCCATGTAGTCTACGTAACCAACCGTGAGAGCACAGCCAGCCTCGGCAGACGTCTTGCAGGCCCGTTTACTAGTCGCTACTTTGAAGTCATGGAAAACTCACGTCTAAAACCCACCATGGTTTCTGGAAGGTGGAGGGGAAAGGGAGGCACCAATGGTTATCTGGTACCTTCTACGTGCCCTCCTCAGAGCTCCAGGCAGGTATGCCATGCTCTCATTCAGTCCTCCAGGCTACCCTGCACGGTCTGCTTCTTTTACAGAAGAAACCAAGTCACACGCTGAGTGACTTCCTCAAGGCCAAGTGAAACAACTAACAGAGCCAGGATCACACCTAGAGTGGACCCCAAAGCCCAGGCCCTTCCAGGCCCAGTGGATATGGTTTCCAGGGCCCTCCAGAAGAAAGACCAAGGTTTTCCTTGCATGGTGCCCAGAAGAGGGTGTGAGCAGGAGGCCTCCCTGCATGATGGCTGGCAGATGCCACTCCCCAAGGGAGACCCCCGCCCTAGACACACCCAGGCCTGCTAGGGAGGGAGAACACAGCCCACTGCCTACTACAGCCCAGGGCTCCTAAAAAGCAGAGAAATCAAGAGGTAAGAATAAACGGGGGAAAGACCTGCCCAACCCAGACACACACACACAGCCTCCCCGTCCAGGGACATCGCTTCCTTACTTGGCCTCTGTAAGGCTTTGAGCTTTGACTGCTTGGTTCCCTGTGTGAGAGGCCGGATCTTGAGCACCGAGAACTCCCGGGTCAGGGCTTCAGCAGCTGCAGAGAGAAAGCATGTATGGAGCCATGCCCTCCTCCTCAGGACACCAAGGTACATCTATCACCCTGAACCCATACAGCCATGTCATGTACCTGTGCAAAGTTCAGGGCAGGGCTGCTCCCACACTGCCCTGGATGGGCAAGAGACGACTGCCACCTGCTTGCCTCATCCCCTAGAGCCCCACAGGCCTACAAAGGGACAGCTGCACTCAGAGGATACTCCTACCCCAGGCCGATCAGGGGGAACATGATGAGGCTGTGATTCTGACATCAGAAGAGGCAGGCTCCCAGCTCCCAAAGACCCAGGGCTCAACACAGCCTTTCCCCCTTTCTCTTTGTTTTTTTTTTTTTTTTTGAGACTTGCTAGAGTGCAGTGGCAAGAGCTTGGCTCACTGCAACCTCTGCCTCCCAGGTTCAAGTGATTCTCCCGCCTCAGCCACCCAAGTAGCTGAGACTACAGGCACACACTACCATGCCCAGCTAATGTTTGTATTTTTAGGAGAGAAGGGGTTTCACCATGTTGGCCAGGATGGTCTCGACTTCCTGACCTCGTGATCCACACACCTTGGCCTCCCAAAGTGCTGGGATTACAAGCGTGAGCCACCGTGCCCAGCGCCTCTCCCCCTTTCACCACTCAAGACCCTTCAGGAAACATGCATTCACTGCCCCAAGTCACGCCTGGCCTTGCAGCACCTCAGCTATTTACAGAGTAGAGCACAGAAGAGCTGGGAGAGGCTTCAGGTCCAAGCGCCCACTGTATGACAGAAGAGGAAACTGAGCCCAGGGAACCTGCTCCCGCCATAGGCTCTGGAGGAGACCAGAACGCCACGGCCAACCCAGCCAGAGCTCATTCCTCTCACAGCACAGGGCCACCTCTTGGCCTCCCTCCCTGCCTTCCTTTCCACAATCTCCCTCTCTGGGGTTTGAGACCCTACCCTACCCTGCCCCGTTCCCTCCCTAAACACTGCCCCCTCCCTCCTGAGGACTAGCCCCACCAGCAATGATGCTCCCAGTCCCCAGCTTGGGTGTTAAGAAGGCTGTTTCTGGGAAGCCCAGTGAAGCAGGCGCGGTGAGGGTAACTACAAATTACACCAAATGTAAGCATGGTGGATGGCAAGGCAATGCAGGCAAGTGGCTCAGGGGGACTGGCGCACCGGAGTCATGAGGAGGTGCTGTGGTGCTCCCAGCTGTGACACTGAGAGGCTGTGTAACCTGGAGTACACACCCCACACTCTGAGAGCCTCAGGTCTCCCTAGCTGTACAATGGAGTAATCTGACCACATCTTTTTTTGTTTTTTTTTTTTGAGATGGAGTTTCACTTTTGTTGCCCAGGCTGGAGTGCAGTGGTGTAATCTCAGCTCACCGCAACCTCCACCTCCCGGATTCAAGCAGTTCTCCTGTGTCAGCCTCCTGAGTGACTGGGATTACAGGTGTGGGCCACCATACCCAGCTAATTTTGTATTTTTAGTAGAGACAGTTTCTCCATGTTGGTCAGGCTAATCTCGAACTCCTGACCTCAGGTGATCTGCCCGCCTCAGCCTCCCAAAGTGCTGGGATTACAGGCATGAGCCATCATGCTTGGCTCTGAACTACATCTTGAGGCTGAAGTGAAAATCGAGTAAGAACGTATCTATTTGAACCATATAAAATTGCCAGAATTCGAATGCTTTTGGCCCATTAAAGCAGTGCTGTCCTGTGGTTTCAATACAGGGACATCCACTGGGCTTGGCCCATGGCCCTTCCTCAGCAAAGGTGGCCTGAATCGGATGCCTTTTCATAGAAAGCACTAACACGATAGGAAGACCTTCTCCATGAAGGCACATAACTATGAGCCAGAGACCGCCCAGCTCCCCCTGTGTTTTAGGCTGGGAACAGAACCCCAAGAGCCACTGGCTCAGCTGAGCCTGCACCCAGGAGATGGGTGGCCTCCACCCAGGGAACCAAGATCCTCCCTCTCAGTGGGGGTCTGAGCAAGGGCTGGGCCCACTAGGGGTCCTTACCTGAGGCCAGGCAGGGAAAGATGCCGAGTGCGTGAGTGTCATCCACCCACTGAATCCTCAACCCCTTCTCTCTGCGGGGAGAAAGGAGACAGCACATTCAGGTAAGCAAGCAGTCAAATTCCTCCTCTTCCAATCCTGCAGCCCGCGAATGCCATGAGCCTGAGGCAAGGGCCTATCTCCTCTGGGACGGAGACCACCATTTGCACCAAACTTCCTCTGAAGCCCACAAGGTCAGCTTCAGAAAGACAAAAGTCACTCCAGTCAGTATGTCAGGCAGGCCACCAGTTTCTAGAACTAAAGAAGCCAGGACTCAAAGAGCTCATATGGCATGACCTCAAGGAGGAAGAGGCTCCTCTCGGGCCTGTCACAGCCAGGCCAATGCCATGGGGTCTGAGGCTGGGGCCGAAAGGGTTTCTGAGGTGTGGGAGAGGAATAGGCCCTCAAACCAGCAGGCCTGCCATGCTCCTGTGGGCTTTCTTCCTATTGCCTAGGACAGTGCCACCACAGTGCCACCTACCCTGCAGCCTGTAAGAGGCCTAAGGCACTGTGGCCCCACCCAGCTGAGGAAGGCACGGAGCCCCAGCCTGGCTGCACCATCAAGGTACAGAACAGAAGAACAGAATGTGCTGCCCCTAGCTGCCCCTTCAGCTCTCCTCCCACTCAGGGGCAGAGCACAGGGGAAGGCTTTTGGGAAGCAGGGTTAGCAAGGAGCGCCATGCAGAAAGGAGTTTCTAAAAGCCTAGGCAGAGTTGGGCACGGTGGTGCATGCCTGTAGTCCCAGCTGCTTGGGAGGCCAGGTGGAAGCATCACTTGAGCCCAGGAGGTTGAGGCTGCAGTGAGCTACGATTGCACCGCTGCACTCCTGCCCAGGCAGAAGAGCAAGATCCCATCTCAAAAAAGAGAAGAGAAGGCCAGGCGGGGTGGTTCACGCCTGTAATCCCAGTACTTTGGGAGGCCAAGCCGGGCAGATGATGAGGTCAGGAGTTTGAGACCAGCCTGACCAAGGTGGTGAAACCCCGACTCTACTAAAAATAAAAAAATTACTGTGTGTGGTGGCACACACCTGTAATCCCAGCTACTCAGAAGGCTGAGACAGAGGAATGGCTTGAACCCAGGAGGCAGAGGCTGCAGTGAGCCGAGATCACGCCAGTGCACTCCAGCCTGGGTGACAAGAGCAAAACCCCGTTTAAAAAAAAAAAAAAAAAAAGCCTGAGCAGGAACCAAGAAGGGGAAGGGAAGATGGGAAATGAGAATAAAAAGGAAAAGAAAAAAGAAGGAAAGCCAGGAGGGTGATCTAAGGGCCAGTGGCAAAGCTGAGGAAGAGGGAAGTCATGTACTACCTCCGGCCACCATCCCGACCTCCACTCTGCCCCACCAGGCAGCTCAGTGCACCCTGGAAACAGTTCCCACATGCAGCTGGCCGGCAGCCTGCTGGAGACCCACTGAGCAGCCGCTGGGAGGCTGGAAAGGGGAGGAGAGTGGGCTGCCGCGTCCCTCAAGACTGAGGGAGGACATGTGGGGTCCTGACAGGCGTGTGGCCATGCAGGGGGATCAGCCCAGGTCTAGGGCCTCCAGAGTGTGTCTACAACCCACAGATCAGTGCTCTCTCTCCCAGGGATGGTCAGCAGGGCAAACTGCCTGGGAATACAGAGCCCAGGCCACATACCCACTTCTCTCTTTGTGAAGGATTAGGCACTGGGGGTCGGGCAGGCAAGCACCCCCAACTACAAACAGGTGTCCTAGCTCCTCTCTGAAGGCAGCACCTCCCTCGCCACCACTCACTGGAACTCAGAAAACGTTGCCAGCAGGTCCTCCGTCTTGAGCGCTGGTTCAAAGTCATAGATCTCTACCACGTGGGCCAGGTCCTTCTCTCCAGGCTGTTCCTCCACGAAGAAGGACGTGTCCACGTGGATCTTCTCTATCTGAATCTCCTTCTTTGTCAGGTTGTCTATGATCTAGGAGAGATCAGACCCTTTAGCAAGGGGAGCCTGGACATGCACTGAGAGCTTTGCGGGGAGAAGGGGCCCACCTGGCAAAAGTCAGGGCGAGACAGCAGCAGGCAGGCTGCGCTGGAAGGTCAAGAAGCGTGGGCTTTAGGGGAGGGCGCTTATCTGTATGGAGTCCCCACTAAATGACTGGCACTGACACACATGACATTCCAGAGAATCCTGAGAACTATATTCCAGAAACCTGCTTTACAGATGGGGAAACCGAAGGCCCAAGAGTTAAGTAATTTCTCCCAAAATTGCAAAGTCAGTCAGAGGCAGAGCTGGGCAAGTGCAAGACCTTTCCCTCCCCTATTAGCGATGTGACCAATACTTGGCAGGGCTGTGGTCGGCATTCTTTATATATAAAATGGTAATAAAAGATGCCACCCTCCCACCAGAACACACAGCCAGTCTCGGGGCAGACACATGGTTCCAAGGAAACGAGATGTAAGACAAAACTTCAGGCTAAAGAGTAATTTCCACGACTGGCATCCGTAACACATGACGAAGCACTTGTACACAGTCCCCTCCACGGCCCAGTGAAGCCTGTATTATCAGCTGGTCACACAGAGTCCCCTCCATGGCCCAGTGAGGCCTGTATTATCATCTGGTCACACAGAGTCCCCTCCATGGCCCAGTGAGGCCTGTATTATCATCTGGTCACATAGAGTCCCCTCCATGGCCCAGTGAGGCCTGTATTATCATCTGGTCACATAGAGTCCCCTCCATGGCCCAGTGAGGCCTGTATTATCATCTGGTCACACAGAGTCCCCTCCATGGCCCAGTGAGGCCTGTATTATCATCTGGTCACACAGAGTCCCCTCCATGGCCCAGTGAGGCCTGTGTTATCATCTGGTCACACAGAGTCCCCTCCATGACCCAGTGAGGCCTGTATTATCAGCTGGTCACACAGAGTCCTATTATCATCTGGTCACAGAGAGTCCTCTCCATGACCCAGTGACGCCTGTATTATCATCTGGTTTTATCTTCAGATGAGGAAACTGACTCAGCAAAACAATATAACTTGCCCAGGGTCAAGCATCTACATGGCTGGGCTGGGGCCCAAATCCACACCTCCTCTCCTGTGTTCCCCAAGGAATCCCTGTCACCCAACCCCCAGCCCTGCCTCCCCCTGCACATCCCCTGCCCTCCACCCATAACCCTTGGTCCCCATCCACCCATGGCCACACCCACCTCACCTCCGCCCTCCCTTTCCGTGCTCAAGAGCCTCATCACCTCCTGCAGCAGCTCACTGTAATCGTCCTCCGAGCAGCTGCTGGGGCCGTCCTCTTCCACCTCCTCTTCGTCCTCGTCCTCCTCTGCCACCAGCCTCTTCTCCAGTGGACTCTCCTTCCCCTCTTCCAGGTCCAGCTGCAGGCTGGACCCAAGTTGTGTGGCCGTCTCCGCCCTATCTCCCTTCCCTGACTGACTCTCAGGCTCCGGGGGCTCAGGGCCAACAGAGTCAGGCAGTGGTTCATTCTCACACCTTTGTCCTGCGTCCTTTAGGTCCTCTGTTCCCTGAGTCGTCAGCACAGGGAGTCCCTGATCAGAGATGGGGTCTCCAGCACCAACTTCTCCAGGCTCTTCTGGGTCCCTGCCAGCTTGGGCCTCTCCCTGGAGCCCCGAGGTAGAGGTCAGCACCCCTTCTTCCTGCCTGCGCAGTACCCGGGGCACATACAAAGGCTGGTCTGGCTTTCGTCCACGATGCCACCGGCCAGCCCGGGCACCTCGGGGCCCTGCGGCTGCTCCTTGGTTGGAGGTGGGCCGAGGACCGTGGTACTTGCTGGGGTAGGAGGCAGGAGGGTGGCAGGGGCCAGAGAGGCCATCTGAACTGGGTACCCTAGAGCAGGAACGGGAGGAGGTCATCAGAGTATGTAGGGGCCCAAAGGAAAATGATTTACTGGAGCCACCTGTCATTCAGGAGTGACATTCAGGTCAGCATTAGGCGAAAACCACAGCCAAAATAATCCTCAAAAATCCCTTAGGAAGACATCATGGTGGAGGCTGTCACTTTTTTTTTTTTTTTTTTGAGACAAGAGTCTCACTCTGTTGCCCAGGAGCTGGAGTGCAGGGGAGTGATCTCAGCTCACTGCAACCTCCGCCTCCCAGGTTCAAGCAATTCCCTGCCTCAGCCTCCTGAGTAGCTGGGATGATAGGCACGGGCCACCACACCTGAATAATTTTTGTATTTTTAATAGAGGTGGGGTTTCAGCATCTTAGTGAGGCTGGTCTTCAACTCCTGACCTCATGATCCACCTGCCTCGGCCTTCCAAAGTGCTGGGATTACAGACAGGCCTGAGCTGTCACTTTTGAACAAGCCCAGAACAGCCAGCTCACCGTCTAGTGCTGTGATTGAAATTAGAGATCAGTCCGTCTTCAATCACACACCAGGAGAGGTAAGTGCTCGCATTTAGGAATTATGCCATCAGAAAAACATGTAACTTCAAACACCAGGATCATAGTCATTATAGTAAGATGCCCACTGTGAGATGCACATGGGAACAGAGGCTGGCAGGGGTTTTTCTGGTCTCTGTGGGACACAAGCTTACTGAGAGGAATGCTCCTCAAACAGATTTCTTTCTCTGTCTTTTGCCTGATTTTGCCAAGTGAATTTCACAAACTGCATGTCTGCCCCACTGTTGATGCAAAAAAGCAGCACTGGCTGAGCGGCTGCAGCTAGGAATGGCAGCTGCCGGGGGTCCCAGCCCTAGCTCCACCCAGCCCTGCCCTTCCAAAGGCTGACCAGCTGGCTAGCCACCCACATACCCCCGGTGCAGGCACTCCAAGGTGGGAGACTACACACCTGATGTCTTGGTGACAGATGACTGTCCTCCTCTTCCAGCCCTCCCCAACGGAGAAGCTGCTCAAGAGATCAAAATTCTCTGCTGTTCTATGGATCAGGTACCGGAGGCGACTGGAGAGTGGAGGGAAAAGAAGAACCCTGGGAAGGGACAGAAAGAAGTGCTGAGCAGGGATCCAGGACCAGCCCCTGGGGCCTGACCCCTACCAGGTCCACTCCCAGGTACACTGGGCTCCCTTCTGCCCCTATGGGTCCCAGGTGGACTGAAAGGATCTGAGCACAGAGAGAGGTGTTCTCAGGAACCCACAGGTCCCATCCCCATCCCCTTGCAGGGCCCCTTCCGTCTCCGGGTGATGCTCAGACAAAGACGCGGCTGGCGTTATGGCGACTAAAGGCCAAGGGCAGAGCCAGCTGCCAGGCACCACCTGGTGGAGGGGACACAGGCGGTTTAGGAACTCTGCCTTTCTCAGCAAGGGGGCACTCTCGCCCCGAACACCAGCCTACTTTGACAGCTCTTTCTGCAGCAGAAAGCGGTCCAGCTCCTCCTGGATCCGGTGGACGAAGTCATTTTCGGCTGAGGAGAGGAAGACACCGTCCAAGCAGAGAAGGGCCAGGGTGACCGGTGGGAGAGCCTGTAGGGGAGACGGGCAGGGCCGGAGATCAGAGCACAGACCCCGGGATCACCCGCGACCCCGCAAAGCCGGCACCGCAAAAGCCTTAGAAACCCTCTTGTCCAAGACCCGGCTGCGGGGAAGTGATGCCAGGGACCCCCGGCAAGTCAGGGCTTAGGGGAGAGGTCTCCCGGCTGCTGCCCAAGGTTCTCGGCCCCGCCTGCGGTCGGATGCTGAGTGTGGCCCCGCACCCTGAGCTGCGCTCCTTCTCGGGGATCATAGGGGAGTGCTCCAAGCGGCCCAGCTGCCCCTTCCCACCCCGGGGGTCGAGGCGATGGCACCCCAGTCCCGCCGCACTCACCGCAGCCTCTCCACGCGTGGCCGCAGCCCTTGGCGTCTCAAGGGGCCTGCGCGCCCGAGCGCCCCAGAGAGGCCCGGGCCGCTGCGGGGACGCAGCGCCACCGCGCGGCCGGGGGGAGGTAGCGCCAGGAACAGGAGGGGCGTGTTCTTGTCGCCTATTGGGAGGGGGCGCACCTGCCACTAACACAAACCGCTTTTCCCAGAGCGACACGAGTAGCTTTCATATTCATGGCAAAACCGAGACCCAGAAAGATGAAATAATTTTACCCAACTTGCACAGATACTACATTCCGGAGTCTTACTTTGAGCAAAGATGGGTCTGATTCCAAGATGGGCTCTTTTTTTTTCCCCCCTCAATGTTGGCACAGTCTTCTAGGATCAATTAAGTTCAAGAGACACTTTTGTTCTGCCCAACTTTTTCAACAAAGTGGCTGTACCTCCCTGAAATGGAGGAACGAACCCAAAACCCAGAAAGCGAGCCATGTCCCCACCTCTCTAAAGCTGGGTGTGTCCTTGAGGTGTTCAACAAATTCAGAGACAGACTCAGTAGAAACAAACTCCAGGGGAAGGCTGTCCAGGAATTTAATTTCTACCAAACACTCTTTGGGAAACTCAGAGGTTAAACAGGAAAAGAGGTATCAGTGTCTATGTCTCCGTCATGGGTGGAGGTTATCTAGAGATTCCTAGATAAACAGGGAAAGAAATCTATGCACACCTTTGACTGCAAACAGAAGGTGAGGGTAGGATAGTAAATGCAACAAAAGCAGCACGAAGGATGGGAAGAATTTCTACTGTTAAAAAAAAAAAATAGGAAAGAAGGAGGCTGAGGCAGGAGAATCGCTTGCAGTTAGCCAAGATTGTGCCACTGCATTCCAGCCTGGAGGACAGAGGGAGACTCCATCGCAAGAAGAGAAAGGAAAGAAAGAGAAAAAGAAAGAAAAAGAGAGAAAGAGAAAGAAGAAGGAAGGAAGGAAAAATTAGCTGGGCGTGGTGGCAGGCACCTGTAGTCACAGCTATTCGGAAGGCTGAGGCAAAAGAATCACTTGAACCCTGGAGGCAGAGATTGCTGTGAGCCCAGATGGCGCCACTGCAGTCCAGCCTGGGCGCCAGAGCAAGACTCTGTCTCAAAACAAACAAACAAAAAAACAGTATTTCTGAGTTATGCTTTGACATTCATGTGCCTTTCTGGAAAGCCACTGGAAGACACAATCCCCACAACCAAGAGATGAATCCAAATAAACGACTCACAAGCTGATATAACCTGGCAGAAGAGGCCTCGTGCTGAATAATTCATTTACTTAAAACATTCAATTAATTTAAATAATCAGAGCAACAAAAGGGTATACAAATATTATACATCTTGAAAGGAGGGCTATAGAAGGTAAAAACAAAAACAACTTTGTTATCGCCATAAATTGGGACAGGAACCCCAGAGTATATTTCAAAGTGTGGGGGGAGGGGAGAGGCATGTAGCTGTGGCAAAGTCAGTAAATGCTATTTTTTCCAAATAACTGCCAGAGGTTATGGAAGCTGGTTAAGAAAGAAACACCGCCTATATCGAAAAATATAACTGGGGAGGGAGAGGAGGCCAGAAAAAAAAAAAATCAGTAGTAACACCAAAGTGTTTCAAACAAACCAGAGGTAGGATAATTCAATTATATTACAAACATTAAAATGAATTCAAAAAGAGGCCGGGTGTGGTGGCTCATGCCTGTAGTTCCAGCACTTTGGGAGGCCGAGGCAGGAGAATCACTTGAGGTCAGGAACTCAAGACCAGCCTGGCCAGTGTGGTGAAACCCTGGGCATGGTGGCGCATGTCTGTGATCCCAGCTACTCAGGAGGCTAAGGCACGAGAATTGCTTGAACCAGAGAAATGGAGGTTGCAGTGAGCCAAGACTGCACCACTGCACTCCAGCCTTCGTGACAGAGTGAGACTCCGTCTCAAAGAAAAAAAAGGATTCAAAAAGCAAAACATTATTATGTGCTCTCTATCCAACTCCCATTTAGAACAACTCTATGCAAATTCATTTAAGGATCGAAATAAAATTATTAACATACCACAAAGGGCTAAATGGAGAAGCACATTCACTTTAGGACAAGTCAAGGATATGTACCCATGCCTCTAGCGTATACCTTTTTTTAACAGGTACTAGCAAAAAAAGCAAATTGACAAAAAGACATAAAAACGGAAATGTTTAGACATTTGAGGATATCACCTTCTCATTTGCAGAATACATGTGTTTGTGGGGTTTCATTGTTGTTGTTGAGATGAAGTCTCTCTCCGTCACCCAGCCTGGAGTGCAGTGGCATGATCATAGCTCACTGTAATCAGGACTCCCAGGCTCAAGCCATCCTCTTGCCTCCTGTAGCTGAGACTACACACGCATGCCACCACACCAGACTAATTTGTGTATTTTCTGTAGAGACAGGGTCTCACTATGCTGCCTGGGTGGGTCTTGAACTCCTGGCTCAAGACATCCTCCCGCCTCAGCCTCTCAAAGTGCCAGGATTACAGGCATGAGACAGCACACCCAACCTTTGATTTTTTTGTTTGTTTGTTTTAACCTTAAAAACTCAAGAAAATCAACTGACAAACTCTTGTAAGCCAGAAGTAAAGACCATTCTAGAGCCAAGGCAGTGGGAGTGATAAAAGGGTAGAGAAAGAGATGGTGGAGAAAGGGCCAGAACTGGAGAGGGAAAGCAGGATAGAGGGGTGCGGAGTTTCAGGGGCTGGTGGGGGGGAATGAGTCATCCTCCCTAGTTCCCGCTCTACCTGATTGGCCTCTGTGTGTGCTATCCCAGCCAGGAGGGTCCCCACCACGCCCCCCAAGTCTCTGACTCTTTTGTTGTCCCTCAGTTCCTAGGAGACCTCAACCTCTCCAGAGTTCCAGCCTCTTCTTAAAGGGCCAGAGTCACGGGAACCCAGCTAGGGTGAGGGGTCTGACAAAGATAAGATTTTGCAGAAATCTGGACACTACCTCCAAATGCAGATTTATGGTCCGACGTGGTGGCTGCATCCCAGCACTTTGGGAGGCTCAGGCCAGGTGGATCACGAGGCCAAGAGATGGAGACCATCCTGGCCAACATGCTGAAACCCCATCTCTACCAAAAACACAAAAAATTAGCCGGGCGTGGTGGTGCACGCCTGTAGTCCCAGCTACTCCGGAGGCTGAGGCAGGAGAATTGCTTGAAACAGGAAAACGGAAGTTGCAGCGAGCCAAGGTCATGCCACTGCGTTCCAGCCTGATGATAGAGTGAGACTCCAACTCAAAAAAAAAAAAGGTAGAAAAATACAAAATTATCTGGGCATGGTAGCAAGGGCCTGTAATCCCAGCTACTCAGTGGGCTGAGGCAGAGAATTGCCTCAACCCAGGAGGTGGAGGTTGCAGTGAACCTAGATCGTGCCACTGCACTCCAGCCTGGGTGACAGAGTGAGACTCCATCTCAAAAAGAAAAGAAATTTCCATTTAAAGATATTCAAATTTGGTAAAATATTTTACGCATAAACTAAAATTTTCACTTACCAAGTAAAACTATACCATGTACTTTGTTCTTTTCCACAGTTTTATTATTAATGTATTTATTTGAGATAGACTCTTGCTCTGTCACCCATGCTGAAGTGCAGTGGCACAATCATGGCTCACTGCAGCCTCAACCTCCCGGGCCCAAGTGATCCCCCCATCTCAGCCTCCTGAGTAGCTGGGACCACAGGCGCATACCACCATACCTGGCTAATTTTTTAAGTTTTGTAGAGATGGGGTCTTTCTATGTTGCTCATGTTGCTTTTGAACTCCTGGACTCAAGCAATCTTCCTGCCACAGCATCCCAGAGTGCTGGGATTACAGGCATGAGCCACTGCAACCGTCCCATGGTTTTAAATGTTAAACACAAGCAAAACTCCAAGTGGCCATAGAAAATGACATAATTACAGTAACTCATGCTCTGCGTCTCTGGTCTTTACAATTACCACACTGTCTTGGCTTATTCTGAATCTACTATTTAAACCCAGGAATACATATTATCATAAGGGTTGAAGATACAAATTGCAACCACAATGAGCTCTAGTGATTCCAAACCGCTGAGCTTACCTGCAAACTGAGCATGTGCGGGCGGCCCCCGAGCTGGTGAGTTCTCTGAATGAACTTCCAAGTACAAGGGTTAGTCAAGGGTAGGTGATAGAAATGTACCTACAAGCTCAGATAACCACAATAGTTATTTGGAAGTTAGACCAATAAATCACCCACATTGTTTAGAATTGTCAGCACATGGTGACAGTGAAAAGCAGACTGGATTCTCTTCTTGTTTTTCTGTCCTCTGCAGACAATGCCTCCCTCTGTGCCTGCCCCTAGAACAGAGGGCTCCTGCCACCTGGTTCCCAGCAGAACTCCATGATGGCCATTCTCTCAGTTTCCGAGACCCTACAGGTTTGGGTGTCTTTTTTTCCCCCCCAGCCCCTCTTTTGATATTCTTTTCTGGCTCCTCCTCTCCTCCTCAACCTCTAACAGCTAGAATGCCTCAGGCTCCATCTCAAGTTGATCTTCAAGTTTGTTCCTCCCCAGGTCCTCACCATCTCGATATATGGCACCAGCACCCACCCACTTGTTCAAGCCCACAGGGTATTAATCGTTCTTTAGTTCTCCCTTCCTGCCCTACCGCCCGACCTTTAGCCTTCGGGAACCTGTGGGTTCTGTCTCCAATGTACACCTGGGAACTGGCCACTCCTGACACCCCATTCCTGTCCTCATTTCATGTAGGCAACCTTCTCTTATGGGATGTCTCCCACACCGCCTAAAAATATCATATGGTGACTGGGCACAGTGGCTCACAGCTGTAATCCCAGGACTTTGGGAGGCCAAGACTGGTGGATCAGGAGGTCAGGAGATCGAGATCATTCTGGCCAACATGGTGAAACCCTGTTTCTACTCATGATACAAAAATTAGCTGAGTGTGGTGGCATGCATCTGTAATGCCGGCTACTCAGGAGGCTGAGGCAGGAGAATTGCTTGAACCTGGGAGGCAGAGGTTGCGGCGAGCCAAGATCACGCCATTGTACTCCAGCCTGGGTAACAACAGTGAAACTTTGTCTCAAAAAAAAAAAAAAGCTTATCTTCCAACTGAAAGCACTGACATGGGGTCGGGAAACAAGCCCGCACAGAAAGTACTTTGGGAGTTATTTTTTGACAGTGTTTTTTTTCTTCTTCCATTTTTAGAGATGGAGTCTCAGTATGTTGCCCAGGGTGGTCTTGAACTTTCGGGCTCAAGTCATCTGTTCACCTTGGTCTCCCGAAGTGCTGGGATTACAGGTCTCAGCCTCTGCGCCTGGTCATGAGAATGAGTTTCTGAGAGTGTGGTTAAGAGCAGCCTGGTGCAGGAGTGAAAAGGGGTGATCTCCCCCATCATAAAGGGTCACCGCCAACACCCTTATCATAAGGTTATAAGGGTCAACAGGAGACAGGTTAACCCTTATAACCCTTAATAATAAGACAGGTCAACGGGAGAAAAGCATAACAAATTAACATGCATGAAGCAGGGGAGCCATATAGAAAAATATGAATATACACAGAAAGGCCCAATAGTTGGCACTTAATTGCTCTCTTCACTGGGGAAAGAGAAGTGGGGGCTGGAAATGAATGGACCTGAAGACCTGATAGTGGTTTGTAAATGATTCTCTTTGGAGGCTGAATGGGACTGAAGGATAAACAATGTTTGTGGACAAGTCATGGATGGTGGGCGTGGAACTGCACTGAGCCAAGGTTGTCTGAGTATGCAGATACAGTCTTCCAGGTTCTCTTTTGGGACTGCCCTCAGAAGAGAAGCTGAAAAGTCTGTCTCGGTATGGTATCCTGGGTGTAGCTGCTTTTTTAGTTTTTTTCTTGGGTTATTACTCCTGATTATTTAAAGAGATTCACAGGGAGAGGGTTTTAAGAAAACCACATTTTTTTTAGAAGTTTTCTCAATCAGGTAAGGGAACTTGGGGGAGATGGGGAGAGAGAGAGAGGGAGGGAGGGAGAGGGAGAGAGGGGGAGGGGGGGGAGAGAGAGAGGGAGAGAGAGAGGGAGAGAGAAAGAGAGAGAGAGAGAGGGAGAGAGAGAGAGAGAGAGAGAGAGAGAGAGGGAGAGAGAGAGGCAAAGGGAGAGAGAGGGAGAGAAGGAGAGAGAGGGAGATAGAGAGGAAGAGAAAGGGAGAGAGAGAGAAAGAGTGAGAGAGGGAGAGAAAGAGGGAGAGAGAAAAGGTGAGAGAGAGAGAGAGAGAGAGAGAGAGAGAGAGACTCTAGGCTGCCGCTTTAGTTCAGCTTCTCAAATGCCACATTTTAGACCATCATTTCCTGAGACTCAACACTTGTGTAACAATGAATTCCAGCTGGAAGTCAATAAACTAAATTCCCCCGGGAGCTCCGTAGCCTCGGCCAGCTGCCTAAGATTCAGGGTCCCCCTTGGTAAAATGGGATTCCCCTACCCTTCTCATGGTTCTCACATTCCAGAGTCTATGACCTTGCATTGCTTCTGTGCAGAAAGACAAAAGAAGCCACAATTTCCCCAAACAGTAGCCACAACTATGTAAAAATGAGAAGACACCAAGACACTTCAAAAGAAAGGAGGGTCACCAGGCTCACCCACAAACCTTAGAGCAGGGCTTTGCTGGGATTCCTTGGGAGTTAGCAGCTCCCAGGGGTCTCGTCTTCCTTCACAGCTCCAGCTTTTTGTTCTGATGGTCCGGATTATATTTTCAGCAGATTAAGCCAGACCCTTGTGATCACTTCACGGAGGTCTGCTCAGCTTCAGGCTGTCACTTCACACAGGCAGTGGGAACTGCATTTTAACCCTTTCGTCCCTCTCACAACAGCATGCTAACTGCAGAGCCCACCCCGGCCCCAGGACTCAGGTTACGCAATCCTCTTAGGCAGGCCCAGGAGATTCCCAGGCAGCACCTTCCCCTCACCCCCAAATACCCACTTGCCCTTCTACCCACACCTACTCAATGCACACCATCACTGTTCCCAAACTAGCAGTGACGGGGACTCTCCAGCCACCCTCCCAAGCACGGCATCATCTCTTTACTTTGTGGCGTGGTTGTGCCGCTCTGTCTCCTATCCAGGCAGCAGTGATTCAAGAGAAGGAAGAAGCTAGCCAGGTGCCACAGCTCACACCTGTCAGCACTTTGAGAGGCTCAGATGGGAGAGGGTCTCTTGAGGCCAGGAGTCTGAAACACCCATCTCTACCAAAATTAAGAAAATTAGCCAGGCGCATCTGTAGTCCCAGCTCTTCGGGAAGCTGAGGGGGGAGCTTGCTTGACCCCAGGTTGAGGCTGCAGTGAGCCATGATTTCATACTGTGCTTCGGCCTGGGTGACAGAGCAAGATCCAGTCTTAAAAAAAAAACTAAGAAAATTCTCAAGAATAAATCCCTATATGCTGCTGACTCCTAAGGCCAGACTCTCAGCCCATTGCCCAATTGCCTGGCTGGTGGGAATCCCATGCTGGCAGCCACAGCCTCCACCACCAGAGTCCTACAGATCACCCCTTGTTCTGCGCTCCAAGCACAGACTCAACAGCTTCTTATAATTTCCTGTAGCACAGCAAACAATCAGTCTGGATCATTTAACAAGGACTCTTCAGTGGCTCAGGACAGCAAAAGAAAAAGCAAACTTAAACCAGGTAACAAGGCTCCCAGGTCCAGGCCACTTCCTTCCAGCATTAGGAATGGCTCGTCAGGGGTTCCGGCCTCTCTTCCGTGGGGCCTGTCAGCTCCAGTCCCTCTCTCATTAGGTCCTTGAGAGTCTCCCAGGGCTTTGTGAACTGCTCTCACCACCTTTTCCTGGCTGGCTCACCTGCTGACTTACCTGGAGCCACAGACCCAGTGCTGCAGCCCATTCCTAATGCTGCCCTCGGCCTCAAAGCCCATCTCCCCCACAGGAGGTGGCAAACATCCCTGGAGGAGGTACCGAGGAATACTGGTGCCAGATTAAAGTATGGTACAATCACATGAACAGAAGAAATTAGGCCACTTACAGATATAAAGAGCCCAGCAATGGCAAACCGTAGCAATGGCACATTGCTAAAACCAAGGAGGCCATTCAAAGAATGAGTCCTCCCCAGGGGAGCTCAGTGTGGGGGCCGCTTGGACAGACCAGCAGCCACTGCAGCTCAAAGCTCACACGATCAGGCACTCCACATTCTCCTGTGGCCTTGAGACAGAACCAAAGTGTGCAGAAGGTGGGGGCGAGGGAGGCAAGAAGGAACGAGACACCTGATACAACCTAAAGAGGAGACAGGACAAGTGTTCCAGTTTTTTCTTTTAATTATTTACCAGATTAAAAAAGAAAAAAAAAATAGTGATTGTTTCTCTTCACCCCCAACATTTCCGTTTACCAAGGTCGAGTGGGAGAGAAATTCATTGAATTATTTGTGCTCCTGGCCTGGAGCAAATTCTTCTCCTCTGCTCTACGCCACCTCAGGCAGCAGGGACAGGGCAAAGGGCTCCAGGCAGAAATCCCGGTGGCTGGGCAGCAGAGTGGCGTGTGGCTGTCGTTTCTTCTCACCATTGCCAGAGCATTCAGACCCTTTCCCGTCTGTCCCCCTTCCCCGCCCTGCCTGGTCCCTGAAGAGTCAGGGAGCAGGGACTGCAGGAGGCAGGACAGGCGCACGGGTGGCCCAGGCAGTTCCCAGTGGATCTGGCAGAGGGCACAGCCCCTGCTTCTATTGCACATCCTGACTCAGCCCCGCCGCCCCCAGCGGTGGGCCACAAAGTGAAACGCTTTCCAAATTCAGAGAGCCCGGTGCTGCAGGCCAGGCTCAGGGAGGGGAGGTGTGTCGTTGTGTGGCTTGTTCTGGTAGATACGTATTTTTAAGTTACTCCACGATGGGGCCAAGGCAACAATTTCGCCTCTTTAGAAAAGCATGAGGAGTTTGGACATCTCGGGGTCCTGTAGTCACTGGGCCGCTTCCCATGTGAGTGCAGAAGGCGCGGAAGAAGCCTTTCCCCACCGGCACACCTCCTGCTTCATCTGATGAAGAGGCAGTGCCCACCAGACATGCTAGCCCCTCCGGACTGTCACAACTCTGCGCCACTTGGGGAGACCTCTTTCCCTGAACACCTGGAGAATTCTGACAAATGATCCTAGAGGAAAACCTTTTACACTCTATGTTCCTCCACAAAATGGCAGCTAAGTCCCCTCAAATCAAACCTTGAAGTGTTTCAATCTCATTCTTCTCTTACCAGTGAAAATCAAGAGGGACAGGAATACATTATTTAACTGACATTAGCGACAAGATAAACCCCTCTGAAAAACTGCGGGGGGAAAGGGGGAACTGATTCAGATTTGGCAAAGCTGCAATCTTTCTCCTTCATGGGCTGGAAACGAAGCTGGTGGGTGAAGACAAACCTAACTGTGCCAATGGCAAGAACTGCAGGCTAGGAAATGACAGGTCAGACACAGGACTGTATAAACCGTGGCACTAGAAAGATGAGAAGGCAGGTCCATGACACAGCTGGGAGCAAGTCTGTGGAGCATCCCTTCCAGAAATTGTATCTGTCCTGTAGTAATAGGAGCATCCAGATTAATCAGTGGCTCTCCTTCCTCCTCTTCCAAACACATTCTCAGAGTTTCTTGTTTAAATAACTATGTACACACTCAACAAGCCTGGTCTCTCTTTTACATGAGGGTCCTTCACTGGAGGGTCCTACAATGGCTTTAGAGTCGGTTCCAATTGCCTTCTCGGAGATTTACTGCTTGGGACCAAACCTGCAAGGCAAAGAAATGACTGAACACTACAACAGGAAAACCTCGAAGATGAAGGCATCCAGCGTCTAAGGCACCGAGTCTCGATAGAAACAAACCCTCAACTCCCTACAGGGCTCTGGTACTCTGGCAAATTGAGGAACTGGGCTTAGGCCCACTGACTCTGTCAGCCAGAAGGCTGCATGCCCGCCAGAGGCCTTGGAAAACAGCTTCATACCTCCCTCTGATAAGGACAGTTTCTCAAGTTCAGCTTCAAGTTCAGCATCTGAGATCCTAGGGTTAGGCACACTGTTGGTAAAATGCCTATCACGGCGGTTGTCAGGCAGATCCAAAGGTTCTTTGGTGGTATCCTGAAGGAGGATGTCCAATTCCTTCTCCAGTTCTTCACTGTCAAAATCTGGAAAGAAAAGACAACATAAAGATGTATAAACTCCAGGGAGAAATGCACTAATGAGTCCAGGACTGAGGTTACCAAAACCCAGCTTAGCTTCACAAAAGATGCAGACCTCCTTGGAGCTTAAAAACAATCCCAGGGGTCAGGAGACTGAGGGTAGCTTCAGGCAGAAATGCTTCTTCCACACTCAAAGCTACTGAGTGTGGAAGGAAATGCATTCTGCTAACCCCATGGACCTGACCCTGATTCCCCTTGCCCTTGAAAGAGGATCATCCAGTTAGAAGCCGTGTGAATGAGGAATGCTGGAGCACAGACGGGTCATGAGCGCAGCCGTCAAGGGGAAAATGGCAATTCCCTCACTGCTCCCACAGAGGAGCCCCAGGGAGGGCAGGCTAGGGGAGGTCTGCCTGTACCTGGAAAAGCAAATCCACTGGCAAACCCATCACAGCACAGGGAAGCGAAGTCCTTTAGGATGAAAGGAAGAAAGAAAGAACCACCTTGCCCACTCACCTAAGCCATTGGTTACCCCACCAGCCAGAGTCTGAGAAACTTCATCCTGGGTGTCACAGAGCTGTAAGAGACAAGGGCAAAGCCCTGAGCTGGGTGTGGTGGCTCTGAGTAGCCCAGTCTGCTGGAAAATGTCTAGGGTTACAAAGCAATCTTGCCCCAAATGAGAAACAAGGAAAGCGTCTTCAAGTTCACAAGGTGACAAGTCAAGTTTGGTTAAAGAGGATGTGCGATGAAGTCACATCTGTCCTCTGTCACTTCCTTCTCTGTGTGTCCCTCCCTGGCCCCTTTCTGTACCTCTTGGATCTGATCCACGAGGCTCTCTGCCTTCTCCACTGTGACATCCTTCATGGAGAGTTTGAGTGCTCCTACCCCAGCTTGGTAGGCATTAAAGACCTAAAGACAAGGCAAAGCTATCAGTGCAAGTGACAGACATTTGGCAAAATACATACAATATTGTTTCAACTCTAAAAGCAGCTTTGGGTTTTTTTTTTGGCAGCCAAGCTCGATTCGCCCTATACCCACTAAGGCCAAACCTCCTAAGTGGAAATGCAAAGGCAACCCCAGCCACATCCCGCAAGAACCTAGGGACCCTCCAAAGAGCAAAGCCGAAGCTGCAGGTGAGCAGCGCACAGAGAGACCAGCAAGTGCTGGAGCAGAGGTGAGTGGCTACCATTTGATCTGTCTGGGAGGCATAGATCCGGTCCAGGATGCCTTGAACAGTGTCCAGCTTGGCATGCAGGGCCTCAATGCGCTTCTCTGTCCGTTGCTTGGCCTTGAGAGACCTGAGTGCCTGGGGGGATGGAGACTCAGGTCAGTGCTGAACTAGGCAAGCCAAAGGGCATGAGGAATTCAGCCCTTCCCAGATGCTAAGGCTGACCCAGCCTTCTTCCCTCCCATTTGTAAAATACGCTGTGTGGTGCCTGGGCCCGCTGCAGACTCTGTCCCCTCAAGCCGCCAGCAGGCTGCTCTCTGAACTGCTGGGCATTGCTCCGGGCCTGCCCAGGGCACCACTATGGGGCTGGTGGAGACAAGAACTCACCAGCTGCTTCTTTCCTGCTCGGCATGCCCGCCGGGCTTCTTCTTTACACCTGGAAACCAAGGGACAAATAAGATGACTGTGCCACAGGACAGGAGTGGCAGGGTCCCAAAGGGTCCCTGAGAGCAGCATTCAAAGGTGGTTTTAAATCTGAAGACTCAACCCACTCTACTCAGTGGCAAGAAAAATGATGCCGACAGCCCAAAACTCTTACAGCAAGTCAGCACGAAGGCTCAAGTAGGCTGACTGAGGATAAGCTTTTTCAACCCACAGGGACACAACATGCAAACAGGGTACCTCATACACATCTTCCCATTTTGGGAGACAGGGAATGAACTGTTAATACCAACAATGGCCTCGGACATATCCCTTTGCCTTCCAGCAAGGCGAGGGTTCCCAGCTGGAAGACGGACAGAACAGGTTCTGCTTCAATGCCTGTGTCCTCCTGTCAGAGCGTCTGTCTTTCAGGGGATCCTTGTCCAGTTACCCATGGGGAAGAGCAGGGGAAGGGCTCCTCAGATAGACCTCTGCGAAGGCAGGCTCTTGCCCATGGCTATATGCCCAGTCCCTAAGACAATGCCTGGCTCAGTAAATATTAGTTGATTGGACACTGGCAAGGAAGAGATAAACATACATTCACAATCATAGTTTGTGCAGGAAGAATTAAGACTCATGTTTTTGGCTGGGCACGGTGGCTCACCCCAGTAATCCCAGGACTTTGGGAGGCTGAGGTGGCAGGTTTGCTTGAGCTGAGGAGTATGAGACCAGCCTGGGCAACATGGTGAGATCCCACCTTAATAAAAAATTTAAAAATCAGCCAGGCAGAACCCTTGTGGTCCCAGCTACTCAAGAGACTAAGGCAGGAAGACTCTGCTTGAGCCCAGGAGTTTGAGACTGCAGTAAGCTAAGATTCCCACCACTGTCTCGATTTAGGAGGAAAAAAAAGGCCTCATTTTCCTCCTTTGTGATAGTCTGTGTTTCCACAATTTCTGCATTGAGCAGTGATTGCTTTTGTAATCAGTTAAGAAAATAATCCACGTTTATTAAAAGCCCACATATACTAACGTTTTGCCAGTTCTGGGGGCCAGCTACAGTGGAGACGGGGCTCAGCTCAGGGGTAGAAGTTACCTCTCTGCTTCCTGCGATAAGGACTCCACTTTGCGTGAGAGAAGCTGTTCACTCTGCATCAGCTGGTACACCCCAACATCTACGTCATTGACTGGAGAGACCTTGGCATGTGGCCCCCGAGCAAACTTCACAATCTGAGGGACAGGGACAAATTACTACTGCCATTCCCACAAAGGCTGAGAAATTCCCAAGCAGGAGTGCTGGTGGGCATCCAAGAACAGTGGGCCCCCCTTATCGATGGGGGAGGATGTTCCAGTGAATGGGACCGCCCATAGATGCCTGAACCCTCGGAGAATACTAAACCCTATACATATAGCTATGCACACAGTATTCCTCCTTCACAATTTTTCCTATAGAAGATTCATTCTTGGGCCAGGCATGGTGGCTCATGCCTGTAATCTCAGCACTTTGGGAGGCTGAGACAGGCGGATCACGAGGTCAGGAGATCAAGACCATCCTGGCTAACACTGTGAAACCCCATCTCTACTAGAAATATAAAAAATTAGCCCGGTGTGGTGGCATGTGCCTATAATCCCAGTTACTTGGGAGGCTGAGGCAGGAGAATCACTTGAGCCCAGGAGGCAGCGGTTGCCATGAGCCGAGATAGCCCCACTGCACTCCAGCCTGGGCAATAAGAGTGAGAGATTCCATCTCAAAAAAAAAAAAAAAGAAGATTCTTTCTTACTGTAGATTCTAGAAACCTCAGCAAATGGTATTTTGCCTTCCATATTTAGTCCAGAACTTCCATGTTTTCACTTAAAGGAAGCAGCTGACAACTTCTGTTTGGTACATCTGGACTGCCAGCACCACCACCCGTGGTGCACTTTGGGGCCATTATTAAGTGCAATAGGCTGGGTGCAGTGGCTCACACCTGTAATTCCAGCACTTCGGGAGGCTGAG